GAAGAAGAAAGAAGAAGAAGAAGAAGAAAGAAAGAAGAAGAAGAAGAAAGAAAGAAAGAAAGAAAAGAAGGAAGGAAGGAAGGAAGGAAGGAAGGAAGGAACCCTAAGGCTCAGGTAACGCAAGCATCTTGAGTCACAAGCTAGTGCCAGGTTTGTACCTAAGATGCCTCTAAGCCGCAGGGAGATTTTTTTCATTGGGGAGCTGTAGCTTCAGCTCCAAATCTTTTTCACATGGGCTCCTGCAAAGCCTCAGAATGGTCGAATGGCATGCTCCTCTCAGCCAGGAAAGTCTGTGAAATACTCTCTCTCTCTGTACCATCCACCAGGCTGTACGTTTCTGTCATTCTTCATTAACACAAGTTTCTTCTGAGGATGGCACTGTGCTAGGACCAAGGGGCTAAAACACACTCTGCTTTCATGATTTTGAAAGCTGCCAAAAACAGGGCCGGGGGTGGAGCACACTGTCAGATGGTTCCAAACAAGGGAGGACAGTCGTGCTACCCAAGAGAGGCACAGGTATGTGTCTGGCAGTGTCGAGGTGTGGAAACAGAGAAAGGAACACGTCTGCACAATTTGAGGGCCCGTGTGTTCGGGAAAGGCCGGCAGGGGTAAGGGGAGGGGTTCTGCACTGAGGGCTAAATGCAGGATGAGGAGGGCCCAGAGTTCAGGCCAGAAAGCCTGCAGCTGGTGTTGGAAGGATTCTGAGACTGCGCTAAGATGCTGGCTTCTTCCCGGAGTCCGCCCACATGTAGGTGGGGCGCTTGGGCGGCTTGTAGAGCCTCAGTCTCCCCTGCTGTGAGATGGGAGACTTGCACGTTGCCTGTCAGGGACCTGTGTGAGGTAGGGCAGGGGGAGGGGGAGCGATGGCAGAACTCGCTGAGCAACTCCAGGGGAGGATGCGAAGGGAATGCAAATCACAGATATTTATAATTGCAGCAAACTGAGACTGCAGGCCGCCAAGCACTCCCTCTGGAAATCCTGAAAACCTGCTGCCGTGGGGCTGTGCCCAGATCCCAGCTGGAGGCAGACTTCTCTCTTCTCAGCTCCTGCCAGGCTGTTCCTCGTACAACAAACACTAAGCTTCCCCGTGTAATTCCACCTACAGAGGAGGAAGCTCTGCACCCTCCTGCCCTCCCCTTTCAAAGAACCAGGTGAGTCCTAAGTCCCAGGTCACAGCAAGCTGCTTTTTTGTCCTCAGGGCCTCACCAGTCAGCCCTGTCAAGGCTAGACTCCCAGAGCTGAGAAGTAGCTGAGAAGTAGCGTAGGAAACAGTCCAATTCCCACTAGTTGCCTAACACAGCCGCCCGTGCACGGAGCCTTCTCCACGCCAGGCTTGTGCTAGGCGTCTGAGTTGCTGATGGGAAAGGATGGGGGCTGGCCTCAGAAGGAGAGGCAAGGAGCCGGGTCCTGACATCAGCTTAACATCCTCTTCCACCAAAGGAAGGGAAAGATCATGTTGATTCCAAACTTTCCTTCTTTTTTAAAAATACAAATGGAACTTCTTTTTTAAATGTCATCTCTTATGAGACCCCACATAGGCATCTAGAAAGCACCCATTAGTGGCCCCCTCAGGTGCTTCGGAGAGATTCTAGAACAGTGCTTCTGGAACTTTAACGAGAATGTGAATCCATAGTGGGTCTGGTCAAAAGGCAGTCTGATCTAAAGGTCTGGGTGGGACCTGAATTTCCGGATGATGTCTCTGCTGGTGATCCATGGACCACACTTACAGCAGTGACAGTCTAGAGTGCTAAGGATTATTGTTTGACAACCACTGATCTTTAGGATGGAGAGACAATGAGCCTCCCTACTCCTCATCCCTGGAGAAATCACACCGAGTCTCCTGGGCAAGCATCTCCTTCCCTGGATGGAAGTCATCTTCTGTAGTCAGCTCCACACCAAGGTCCTAGAGTCGCCTCCTTACCTCCCTCTGGTTGGAAGGGTCTGTCAGCCCCACAGGGCAGTCTGGGAAAATCCCTCAGAGGCTCAGCCATGAGGAAGAGCTTTAAGGCATTGTCTTTACTCTAACAGGAAAGTACAAAATATTCAGGCTAATCCTCTTTACCCCTACCCGACACCCCAACATACACAGAGGAGACAGAAAGATTGACAGAGATGCAGACAGACAGAGATCAAGAGTGATCAAGCCAGTGTTCCCACCAGCTTTTGAAAAGGATGGCCTGTGACAGTCATCTCCCTGCCCTTTCCTCACCCCCCAATGAGTGATGGCAATCATTTCCCTCACACCCTCTGTTCCTAAGGCTCACCCCCTCCAGGACTGAGATGCTCCCGCTGAGGTCAAAGGTATTTTTAGCTCTGCTCATGTGGGCCCATGCTTGGCCAACCCTCTCCGAACATTAATCTTGGATTCCACAAATGCCAGGTCTCCTAATCCAGGAGGCACAGGGGCGACAGGGAAATCTGAGCATGTTGGAAAATGCAGCCCTGGGCTTTTTGAGGATTTTGTCCACATGCCGCGTCTGATAAAAACAACAACAGTAACACCTAATGCTCAGAAAATGCTTTAGCATCCAGAGTACTTCCTCTGGTGTCACCTCATTTGATCTGCCCAAGAGGCTCTTGGGAAACATAAGACAAAAATGATTTTTACTTCTGTTTAGTGCAAGGGCCAGATGACTGGCAAGACGACAGAGCTAGTAAGTGGCAAACTTGGGTCTTCAGCCTCCAGGTCCAAGCTCAGTGCCCTTTACCACCCCCTGGCAAATCCAAATTTTTGCTTTTCTCTCTGACTTGGTTTTGTTTTTCCTGCAGGGAACAATACTGGCAGATCTTCATGTGGAAATCCTGGGCTCACCCATGCTTTTAACAAATGGAAGATGAGAGACGAAGAGGAAAGAGGCAGTGTATCAGTCATGGTCCAAGGAGGAAGAAGAGGACCCACTCAAAAGAGGGTGACCAAAGAGATTCATTAAAGGATAATTTATAAAGGTGTGGGCAGGGTTAAGAAAAACCAAGAGATAGTGATGCATCCTAAGGCTAACAGTAACTGAGAGCTCTAACCAGTCCTCAGGCTGAAAGGGCAAAGGAAGAGGCAGTTACCAGAGCCTGGCAGTGAGCTGGGCAGGGCTGGGGAGCTAGGAGAGGGCAGCCCAGCTGGAGACACGACCTTTGGCAGACACACGTGGCCACTGTCAACCAACAGCCCACAGAGATGGGGTTGGGGGAGATCTGTCCTCACACCTCCCTTCTTCCACCTTCCCATCATCTAATCAGTGCCGGGCTGAATCCAACCAGAAGCCAGAGGGCAGAGAGGAGCCTACTGACCTCCACAGAGGTCTACCTCCTGGAGAGGCGGGAAGAGGAGGCAGGAGAATGGATGTGGAGGGTCATACAGAGAACACCCAGCACACAGCTGCTGGCACCTGCCACAGGCAGGAAGTTGGTTGCACGGGGCACGGCACAATCTGAGGGGCTGGGATTTGAGGGGAAGCCGTAGCCTGGTTGTCTCAAAGTGGAGTCACCCCAGAGCCCAGCTGCAGCTCTCTGGGAGCCAATCTGGCCCTGGGTCTCAGGGGAGCACAAGAAGAACCAGACCAAGAGCTCCCAAGAGACGCTACTAACCCCACAGGCAGGGCTGGCCATCCTGGGGGTGGGGTTTAAATCCTGGTTCCTTCATCTTGCTGTGTGTCTCGAGACCCTTCATTTAATCTCTCTGAGTCCTTGTCTGTGAAGTGAGTGTAATAACAGCAACCCCCATACTTCCCGTCTCGGGACCGGCTGGCACTTTGCTCACCGGGAAGCCATATAGAAATGCTGTGGGTTCCAAATGCCCTAAGCCACCTAAACCTCATTTGCTCTCTGTGAAACATGCTCCTAAGACCTAGATTTGTGGAAGGTTAAAGCCAAAGGAGCCCTAGGACCATCTCATCAGCCTTCTCTCCTAGGAAGGGAAGACACTGAGAAAGAGGTCCCACAGTTAGTGGCAAAGCTGGGGCCACACAGGTGCCCTCCACAGGCCCCCGGTGCCCCTCCTAGCTGCCCTTGCACATGCCGTCAGATGAATAAAGGACAAGGAAGTGTTTGTCAATTGCATTAGTGGTTATAACTGTAATTAATTACAATCTTGCCCTCATAAACCTCTCCAGGGCTGAAAAGCCCCACCATTAACTGTCTTGAAGGGCCTGGCGAAATGTGAATATTTTACCAGCACAAAGCACATAAATACCCACATGCACATCAGGAGGTGTGGTCATCAGAGTAGCTAAGGACAGGGTCCTGAAGGCACAGAACCCAGGACAGGCGAGCTGTGATGGGCAGCGTGTGGCTGGGACAAGCAGGGCTCCCTAGGAAGGAAGGAAAGCTCAGGTGGGGTCATGAGCGGCTGAGAGCTTAGTCCCAACCCCAACTGGCTAGAGGAGGAGTTGGCCAGAAGAGGCAAGCCCAGCCCCAGGAGGCTGAAGGACTTGCCAGGGCCTCCCTGAGAGCTGGCGGAAATGGGCTTCACTCGCAAGGCCCTTCTTAGCAGCCAGACCCTATGGGGCAGACATCAGCAGACATTTCCATGTGTTGACTCCTCAATGGAGAGTCTGTCTGTTGCAAGGGGATCACATGCTACACTGCCACTTTTCACCTGAAAGCCGAAATCTTAGCTCTTGGCCAAACTCTTCAGCTCCCAGACTGTCTGGACCAACTCATACTTGACTGAGCTGGCTCTGTTCTGCTTCTCTCATACTTCCCATCACTTCCACCGCTCCTCTGCTCCACCAGGGCCAGTGACTCTTCCTTACGTTCATTCAACAGATGTTCGCTGAGCACCTACTACTCACTGGGCACAGCGCGTATCACTAGGAAGGCAGTGATGGAGCCCGGCCCTCACAGAGCTGACCGCCAGAGGAGGTGATGGAAACTGTCAGATTCTGCAGGAACAAATGCATGAGCAAAGACAGGCTCAAGTCCAGAGCCCAGAGCTGAGCAGAGCCATCTACAGCTCCCAGAAGGGCCATCTTCATCCCAACTATCCTAAATAGCACTGCACACAGTGCACTCAGAGAGCCCGACCCTCTCTATAAAGACAAGGGCCTGCAGTGTTGTGCCTCAGAACACGAGTAGGAGCCAGACTCCCTAGGAACAATTCCAGCCCCACTGCTTAGTGTATGACCTTGGGTAAGTGCCTTCACCTCTCTGAGGCTCCTTTTCCTCCTCTGAGTTACGGCACTAATTACAGTCCCTCCCTCATGGCACCGTTGTAAGAATTAGGTGGGGTGATCCGTGGCAGGTTCTGAGAACAGGTCCCAGCATGCCAAGTCCTCAATAAATAGCCACTGTTCTTATAGGTAAACTGAGGCCATGGTGGGCTGTGACTCATCTAATGCCTCTCACCTAGTTAGGAGCAGATCCAGGGTTGGAACTTAAATGTGCCAACTCCAGGCCAGCATTCTTTCCACTCCACTTACCACCTTCCCACCCAGGAATCCACAATGTGAATTTAGCCATATCCCATTTGAATGTTTAAACAAACAAGGAAATGGGAGATTGTATTACCATACAGGGCCTTTCTTATTTGGGCCACCAGAAAGGTCCTATTTCTTCCACTCAAGTAACCTCGTTGCCAACAGCCAATCACCTGCCTCACTTTCCTTGCTAAGAAAACTGAAGCCTCTGGCCTAGCTCCCTGGGCAGCGCTCGGGCCGAGTATTTCCTCACGGCCTTATCTCACTGAATCACTGTACCCCGGCAGCCCACATCTTTACAGATACTTCCTCAACTCACTTCTCTGCTTAGATTGAGTGCTGTTTTCACAATCCCCTTGGCTGGAGATTTGCAAAGAGGTGCAGAATCTGTTAGGCTCCAATGTGAAGATCTGGGCCCTGCAGTGGGCCCGCGGATCCACGCAGTCACAGCTGGCGTGGTGGCCAGCCAACGCCAGAATGCAGGGAAATGCATACACACGGCGTAGCTGTGTCACACCAAAGCACATTTAACAGCCCACTGAAAACTCACAGCCTGAGCCCTACCTGCTTACTGATTCCACTGAATCACAAAGTGTTAGAGCTCGGTGCAACTTTAGAAATGATTTGCTCTGATCTCCCTTTTTGTAAGAGTGCTAGAGGCCTAGAGTGGAAATTAGAATAAAGGGTAACAGAGCTCTGGGGTTCAGAGTTCAACCCTGTAGCCAAATGGTCCAGGTTCACTCCTGACACACCAATGACTGTGAGGCTTTGGCCAAGTTACTTCAGGTCTCTGTGCCTCCATTTGCTTATCAGTAAAAAGAGGGTAAAAGCTCATACCTTATAGGATGCCCTGAGAATCAAATAAGTTAATAACTTAATGGAGTGCTTAGAACAGTACCTGGCCCATAAGCACCATGTGTTTGTAAAATAAATCAAGAAGAGAGGTGATCGTGTGAGTCCCTGTCGTTCACATGCCCTCTCCGGGCACTCAGATTGGATTAACTTGTCCCTAGGGGCCCCTTCCTTTTGTTGTCATGCTGACTGTGTTTCTTTGCTGGGATGTTGAGGCCTAGAAGTCCCACGCTGGGCTGCTCTCTGAGATGCCAAAGCAGCTCTTTGGAAGGCAGAGCATGACCACCAGGGGCTACACTCACCTGGCTGAGGCAAAAACCTTTGCAGCTTTCATGCTCGCCTTGGCCTCAGCCACAGCCATTGCAGGAGGCTCCTCCGGAGTGTGGGATGGAGTCGGCACACCAGCCGGAGGTCCCTGTGGGATGTCCCTGTGCACAGTTCCTCCTCCCTCCCTCCCTCTCTGCCTCTCTCTGAGCCATCTCCTGTTTGAGCTCTTGAAAGTAGCTGGGGACTCACAGAATCTTCTCTCTGGTTCCAGCCAGGTATTCTCCTTTGGGCCCTGATTTCATTAAAATAGCTCTATGATTTATTTGGGTCCGCTGCTCTGGGGTTTTGAGAGTGGGGAGAAGAGACAAGGTGTACATCAGACGTGTGCAAAGGGTTCTAATTCAGAGGACGCACTACTCTCTGGAGAAGAGTAAAGAGTGCCAGCCACCTTATATGGTGCCTGATACAAGACTCGAGAGACAGAAAAGCTCCCCAGACACCTGGAGATCCTCACTGGAGTGAAGTTGTCCTTATACCCTTCTTCTCTGTGAGCTACGCTGTAGCTCAAGCCCTCATCACTCTCTCCTTACACCCAGGCCTTTCAGCTGAGCCCCGTCATCTTCAGTCCTCCTGCAGTCCACCCGCTCTCCCTGCTAAATTTCCACTCCAAGAGCCAACTTCTCATTATCCCATTGTCCTGCTCAGACACTCCCAGTCTCCCTGCAGCTTCCAGGACAAAGTCAAACTCCTCACTGGCCCTCAAGTCCCACTGGTCTTAACCCCTTACCGTTCCCCATCAAATTCTGCTGTGCTTTTCCATTCTGAGCTGCCATTCTTTATCCTCCTCCAGGAATACCTCACCACTGTACCTCCATGGAAACCATGGGTTCTAATCATTTACACGCTGGGTGGCCTTGGGAAAGTTACTTAACCTCTCTGGGCCTCAGGGTCTTCATTTACAAAATGATGCTACCTAAGAGGGCAGGGCTTTCATGAAGAAGAATTAAGATAACATACAAGGGCTTAGCACAGTACCTAGAACATAGTAAGAGCTGAACAAAAGTTAGCTCTAATAATAACCATGATCATAATGATGTTGGTGATTGTTCTGTCATAAGCCATTTCCTCCACACAGCCTTCTATGGTCTCGCAACCAAGTACTAGTTTTCTTTCTTTTGAAGCTTCCCCGTCCTGTGGCTATCCCCACGCTCCGCACGATTTCACAGTGATTTTTCCACTTATTTCTATTCCCTCTTTGCAAACAGAGACTGTGATGGACCTACCTCTGTCTCATCTAAAAATGGATTCTAGCATTTCATAGGTGTTCAGTAAAGGTTTCTTTTATTCGAATGTTCCTCTGGACCATAGATGGAAGGCCAGAGAAAATCCATGGTGATCCCGAGATGCCTGGGGGTAATGGGTCCCTCTTCAGAAATAATGAGACAGAGCCAATCACCATTGGACTCTGCCTGGATGGACACGCAGCACAGCCTGGGCAGCCAAAGGGACTGACAGGTCAGTTCAGTGAACTTTGCCCTCATGCCCTAACATCCACTTCCCAAAGCCTGGACCAGCGCTGGTCTTGGTTATGAGAAAGAACAGAGGAAGTGAGTACGGGAGATGAAGTGCTGTGATTATCACCGGGAATCTGCTTGGCAAATGGGAGAAGGGGCAGGGAAGAGGTCCTATTTTCTGAGACTTGGGGAAGGAAGACGGGAGTGGGAGGGAAATGATCTGTGGCTTATTCTCTTCCAAGCTCAAAGGGTAGATGCTGCCTTTGTACTTGGAATTGACTAGAAGACTCTCCTTCTGGTTACATGGAGCTCCAAAGCTCGCTGCGGGTGAACTCAAAGGGGTCCCAGCTTTCTGCTTCATCTGAACTGCAAGCCTCAGTTGGCAGGCACACAGTTGCCCCTGCCCCAAGCTGGCCTCATTTGAAATTCCCTGTGTTGCTGTCATGGCCAGAGCTAAAGCCAGGTCCCAAAATTCCGTGGCTCTGGGCTGTAGGTCAGTTCACTTATAGTAGTTGTCTCTTCTGAGTTCTAATCTGAAGAGACAGGCTGGCCCATCCCACACCTCCCAGGAGTCTACATTTGAAGGAAGCCCCAGTGATCATGCAGTCTAGTCTAACTCTGGCCCCGAGAGGAAGGGTCACACCACCAGGCAATGATGGAGCCAAGCCTGGTACACAGAGCTCTGGCCTCCAGTCCAGTGCATTTTTCATTCACCCAAGAAGCCCCCACTGGCTGTTCCATCCAAGGACATAACCCACAGAGAAAGGAGGAGGTTGTGAAATGCTTCCACTGGAAGCCCAGGGCTGGCCGAAAGCCCAGATGGTTCTCTCCTAGCCCTCCTAACCCAGGCACAATTCACCAGTTTTCATCCCACTCGTCCGTGTGAACCCTCTTCCCTACGAGGTCAAGGCCTGCCTCCCAGTGAGCAGCCAAGCTGACTTCTGCTTGCACCTTCCCGGACACCTCCACTGGCAAGAACTTTCCATTGAGTAACCAACCACCTTGTGCAAACTGACTCTTCCTTGTCCTCCACAATTACTCGGCAACTCTGCAAAACAGTAACCCAACTGTTTATTTTTATTTCAAGTTCAAGATTGAAGAGCTACTTGGGTATTTTTTTCTTTCCCTTAAGGAAGTTACGAGGGACCTGAGGGTCTTTTGATCTTTGGCTCTTGACTGTGAGCTCGACATGCCCCCATCTTCTGCTGGCCCCCCAGTCTGTGCCAGGTGACACAGGATGGGCCAGGGAGGAAAAAGGATATCTCTCTAGAGGGAAGATGCCCCCCAAATGGAAACAGGCCACTCACCAAACTTTCCCCCACCCCCAACCCCAGGGCCTCCAACCAACTCATGCTCCCACCACACCTTGCCAGCCGGGGTTATCTCCCCCTAAGTTTGCTCTGCATTTTTATCATTTACAAAACACTTTAACCTCATTGTGTGTGATGTCCAGGACCTCCCTGAGGGGTGGGCATGGCAGGTTTTCACAATGGAGAGGAGATAATCATATATATTTATGCATCTATCTGGGGATGATCTGACCAAGTTGACATAGAAAGCTGTCGAGTCAGCCTCCTGACTCCAAGTCCAGTGCTCCTGGTAATCTATCTTCTCCCAGCCACTCTCATCAGTATCCATTTTGCACAGTCAGCTAAAAGGAGCTTTCTGGATCACCATCTTTCTCAGACTACTCTCACATTCACAGAGCTTCAGAGATTCCTCATGCCTACAGGATAAAATGCCAATGATTCGGCTGGTCTTTCAAAGCCCTCCCCAGAGTGACCTCAAAGTGTCCCCTCAGTATTATTCCCACTACTTCTGTCTGG